GATAATAATAAAAATAATACTTTTCTGTTACTACTGAAAACTAAAAACAAACAAAAAAATCTTGAAAGCAGTGAGAGAAAAATGATGCATTAGTAATGTAGGAATAATGATTTGAACAATCATGGATTTCTCATCAGAAACATGGAAGGCAGAAGATAATAAGACACCTTTTTAAAATTGCTTAAAGAAAATAATTATCACCCAGGATTCTGTACTCAGCTAAAAGTCTTTCAGGAATGAAAATGAAATGAAGATATTCTTAGATAAAGGAAAACTATGAGAATATATCACCAGTGGACTTGCTCTAAAAGAACTAATGAAGAAAGTTCTTCAGACAAAAGAACCATTATATTAGAAGGAAATTTGGAATATCAGGAACAAAGGAAAAAAGAATGACAAAAATTGTAAATATCTGGGTAAATGTAATAGACTATGTTTGACAGCTGAAAGCAGCAACTGTAATATTGTCTGATGGGTTTTAAGGTATGTAAATATAATACATAGGACAACTACAATATAAAGAGAGAAATATAAAGAAACCTACAGAGTATAATGTTTCTACATTCCACCTGAAGTAGTAAAGTGGTTTACTGTGTATTTTAATACACAGTTCTATGAATTTTAGAATATTGGTTCTAAGTAGACTGTGAAATGTTAAGTATGTATTTCTAATCCCTAGAATAGCCATCTAAAAACTATACCAAAACTTAATAAAAAACACAGCCGGTAAATGAAAATAGAATTCTAAAAAAAAAGTTCAAATATTCCAAAAGAAGGAAAGAAAGGGGAAACAGAGGAATGAAAAATATAACAAACACTAAAGAAATACTCAGGGTGGTGCCTGAGGCTCAAAAGGGTAGGGCACCAGCCCCATATGCCAGAGGTGGTGGGTTCAAACCCAGCCCCGGCCAAAAAAAAAAGAAATATTCAAATGGTAAACCTAAATCCAAACAGGTCAACAATTACATTAAATATAAGTGGTCTAAATGCATTAATTACAACAGAGATTCTCAGACTGGGTGAAAATGACTTAATCAGATACAGTCTACAAGATAGTCACTTTAAATATAATGATATACATAGGCTAAATGTAAAAAAGAGGGAAAGATTTAGTATTAAACACTAATCAAAAGGAAAGTAGACTTTGAAGCAAAAAAATTTACCAGGAACAAAGAGAATAATTACACAATAATAAAAGAGTCATTTTGCCAAAAAGATAGAATAGTTTTAAATGTATATGCATCTAATAAAAGAGCTTCAAAATACATGAAGCAAAAACTAACAATAGAAAGAAGAAATTAACAGATCCACAATAAGAGTGGGAGACCAAAACGCTTCTTTCTCAGTGATCAGTAGAACCAGTAGAAAGAAAATAACCAAGGATACAGAACTAAACAATACCATCAACCAAAGAGGTCCAACTGAACACTACCTAATAACTGCAGACTGCAGTTGACCCTTAACTTTAGAGGTCTGAACTGTACTGGTCAACAAAATATTAGCAAAAGATGCTCAGTGTCATTAGCCATTAGAAAAATCCAAATCAAACCCACGAAATACTATTTTACACTCACTATGATGGCTATGATAAAAAAGAAGGGCAATAAGTGTTGTTGAGGATATTGAGAAATTAGAATGCTGACATATTGTTCATGCAAATGTAAAATGGTACAGCTACTTTGGAAAACAGCTTATGACTTCTCAAAAAAACTAAACACAGAGTTATCATATCACACAGCAATTACACTCCTAGGTCTATGCCCAAGGAAAATGAAACATATATGCAAAGATCTTATGCACTAATGTTGATAGCACCATTATTCCTAATAGCTAAAGAAACAACCCACATATTCATCAACTATTGAATGGATAAACAAATGTGGTATATCTATATAACAGAACATGATTTGGCCATAAAAAAATGAAGTATGGATACATTGTACAATATGGATAAACCTTAAAAACAATATAATAGGTGAAAGAAACCAGGCACAAAAGGCAACATATTGTATGATTCCATTTATACAAAACATACAGAATACACAATCTATGGAGACAGAAAGATTAGTGGTTGCCAAGGGTTGTGGGCAGGGAAGGGAATGAGCAGTGATTGCTAAAAAGAATATGATTTATTTTGGGGGGTGATGAAACGTTCTAAAATTATACAATGGTTATGGTTGTTTAATACTATGAATATACTAGAAACCACTGACTTGGACACTTTTAAAGGTATGTGAATAATGTCTCAATAAAGCTACTAAAATGTACTAGCAAATTGAACCCAGAAATATATGAAAGGAATATATCATGACCAAATGGGGTTTATTCTGAAAACACAAGACTGGCTAAAAATTTTTAAATCCATTAGCGTATACCACCATCTCAACTGTAAAGGAAAAAACCCCTCATGACCCAATCAATGGATACAAAGAAACTGTGACAAAATTCATCATAATAAAAACTCTAAGCAAACTAAAAATAGAAAGCAATGTGCTCAAACTGACACAAATTACACCTCTACTACCCCCACCCCAAAACTCACAAAATAACCCAAGAATAGCACACATCATACTTATGGTGAAAGAGTAAATCTAAGATTGGGAACAATGCAAGAATGTCCATTCTCACCACTCTATTCAACATAATATTGGGAGTTCTGGCCAGTGTAACAGGGCAAGAAAAAGAAATAAAAGAACACAGATTTCAAAAGAAAAAAATAAACCTGTCCCTACTTGCAGACAACATGATTGTTCATACAGAAAACCCCAAGGACCCTATAAAAACAAAACAAAACCACTTGGAACTAACGTGTACGTTTAGCAGGGTCACAGGGTACAAGGTTAACCCATAAAAGTTAACTGTTAATGATAAAATTATAGAAATGGAGAACAGCTTTGTGGTTTGCAGGGGCTAGGAAGAAGGGAAGAAAGGGAAGTGGATGTGGCTAATAAAGTTTAGCACAAGTGATCCTTGTGATGAAACTGTTCTGTTTCTTGACCAGGCATCCTCAAACTGTGGCCTGCGGGCCACATGTGGCCCGCCTAGGACATATATCCAGCCCGCCGAGTGTTTTTTGCCACCACTGCCTGTCCCACTTAGCAGCCGACTTGTCCCGGGGCCGGCAGTCCGGCCTTCCAACGGTCTGAGGGACAGTGAACTGGCCCCCTGTTTAAAACGTTTGAGGACCCCCTTGACTATGGTGTTACACAAAGCTACATAGGTGATAAAACTGCACAGAATACCTACACACACACATTACAATGAGTGCATGTAAAAGTGGTGAAATCTAAATAAAGCGAGTAGATTGTATCAGTGCCCGTTTCCTGGTTATAGTATTGTACTAAAGTTATACAAGAGGTTGCCATTGAGAGAAGCTGGTATACTGGATTTGTCAGCATTATTTCTTAAAATTGCAGATGAATCTATAATTATCTCAAAATAGCAAGCAAAAAATCAACTGTAATGCAAAATGGTACATCCACTCTGGAAAATAATTTGGTAATTTCTTATAAAGTGAAACATAAACTTACCACATTACTCAGCAATCCCATTCCTATATGTTTACCCTAAGGAAATAAAAACTCATATTCACACAAAAATAGTACATGAAAGTATGTAGCTCTATTTATAAATATCAAAACTGAAAACAACTTAAATGTCCTTCAGAGGGTAACAGGATAAATACTGTGATATATCAAGATTATAGAATAAAAAGGAAAAGCAATAAAAAGGAACAAGCCACTGATACATGCAATGACTTGGATGAATCTCAAAGACATTACACAGAGTGAAAGAAGCCATTCTCAAAGAGTTATATGCCATGTGCTTCTGTCTACATAACATTCTCAAAAAGGCAAAAGTATAGTCGTGGCGAAGAATGATTGCCCAATGTTACAATGATGGGAGGGTGTGGCTACAAAAAGATAGCACAAGGAAGTTTTGTAGGGTTATGTTATTGCTTGTATTCTGATCGTGGAGGTGGTTACAAGAATCTATATATATGTTAAAATTCATACAACTATGTATTAAAATTAAAAGCTCAACTTTCTGCTTGTTAACTTTAAAGACACAATTTTGACATTTAAATCTTGTGTTAATACATTTAGAAAGGTTATTTAGAATTTAGTTGTTTGTAGCCTACAGATCCGATAGTGTTTTAAGAGTATCACAGACTTCATTTTACAGTATATTATGGAGCTCACAGAGCATAATATGAAAATTTCCTAACTCAAAATCAAATAAGAAAAAAGAAAAACTATGACTTTGATGTCAAAAATGCTCATTAAACATCAAGTAAAAGAACATTTATTTTAGTGACCTTTACTCAAATAGTAGCTATAGACAATATGCCAAAAAAGTGTCTTCTAATCTTTTTAATGTAAGATTTAGTTTTATTGACACATTAATGGTGGTTATAATAATAATTAAAGAGTAAATAAAATGGTTAAATGAACAATAGTCTGAAAGCTACTCAGGTAATTTAATGCAAATAAAAAATTCATTACTCTTCAATTAAGATATTAGACTAAAAACCATGGCATTAAATCAAATCAAGGATGATAGGCATTGCAAGCAAATAAACTGTGTAGAAATATAAACGTATCACTCATTAATTAACCCACTTGAATTTCAAGTAAATAATTCAATGTAAAATAGCCTTTAAAAGTTATCCTTGAATGTATATATGAAGGCATGTATGTAGTGTTTTAAAAGTATATCCTAAATGAACACTAAAGGCAACATTCAAGTCAGGAAAATGACAAATGTTAGATATTCACATCAGCTAAGTTAAAAAATTACTTAGCTATAATTATTTCTGTAAGTATCTAAGTTTTTAATTCTGGCTATGATTTTTTCCAAACTTACAGAGAGGAAATAGGAGTTCGGCCTATCTACAAAATGGATCAGACCTTCAGCTGCTTCCAGATGGCTTCTGCATTACATTGAACAATCTACAGAAATTCCAGTGATGACATAAATCTGTATGTTCTGGATTTCTTTCACATTTTATGGAACATTGGTCCCATCGTAGCTATAATATCTGCATAGGGAGCGCTCTGGCTCAGCTCAATAGCCTGGTGTTTTTTTAGGACAAGAAAGCTATAAAATTTGGCAGCTGCTTGTTTTCGGTCACTATTTATGCAGAGCTTCATCAGACTAAAGGACTGCATTCCCATCTTGTTGGATTCCTGGGAAAATAATTAGAGAAGAGAAAAGAATAGGAAAACAAGATCATTAGGAGTAAAGCAGGCTGTGGATACACAATGAAGAAAAAAAATGACATTTTCAATTAGCAGGCTATAAAATCCTTAAATGGAGAAATGTGGATGACTCTTCAATAAGCTTATAAAATCATTCTAAGCCACTGAGCATAAGCTTGGTTCACTGAGAACTTCAAAAGTATCATACAAATTTATAATGTATTATACAATATTTCGTCTTTTTAAAAAATGATGTTAACATAAATGGCTCCGGTGGGAATTGTAATTAATTTAGACTTTCAAAAAAAAAAAATCCACAAGGTTTTAAGGCCTCAAATGCAATGAAAATGATCAGTCTGTCAGGTTTCTTCTCCTTAAAGATACTTGGGGTGGGGAGTGACTATAAAAATTCTAGCGGTAAATGGAGAAGTACTTTTGTACGTTTCCACTGCAGGGAATTATGACTATGTAAACATTGCCCAGTTTCCTATGTTCTTTTTTGTTTTCTTTCTTTTTTTCTTTTTGAGACAGAATCTCCCTCTGTCACCCTGGGTAGAGTGTAGCAGCATCATCATAGCTCACTGCAACCTTAAACTCCCAGGCTCAAAGCGATTGGCTTGCTTCAGCCTCTCAAGTAGCTGGGACTATAGGAGCACTTAGAGAGAGGATTTTTTTTTTTTCTATTTTTAGTAGATACGGGGTCTCATACTTGCTCAGGCTGGTCTCAAACTCCTGAGCTCAAGCAATCCTCCTGCCTCAGTCTCCCAGAGTGCTAAGATTATAGCTGTGAGCCATCATGCCCAGACTACCCAGTTCTGTGCTTAGATTAAAAAGATACTGAGTTCACCACGTGGCACCCGTGTACCTACTAGAAATAACTGAGGTACAATAACATATTTAATTATGGTGTTTAATTATGAATGAAGATAACTTCTTTCATGAAGACTAGGACTTAGAAGCAGATTCCTAGAACAAAAGTACAGTTTTTTAGTAAGAATATTGTGGCATAGTGAATTCTGGCCAGTATAAGTGTCATATTCTGTGGATAGATGTAAAGCATTTTTAAAAATATCATATCCAAGTTTCCTGTGAGTTCGTAACACTTAACAAGCTAATAAGTTAAACACTTTATCACATTTTATCTCAACCAAACATGTGTGCTAGGGTCAGCCCTCCTTCAGCGATGGCATACTCAGCCTTCATTTATTCCCTCCCTTGACAGTAAAAAAGTGAATAGGGAGAGAGCAGGGACAGCTTTTTAAATTTCAATTAATTTTTTAAAAAATCTGGATGGGCCCAGCACCTATAGCTCAACCGGCTAAGGCGCCAGCCACGTACACCTAAGATGGCGGGTTCGAATCCCCAGCCCAGACCCGACAAAACAACAATGACGGCTGCAACCAAAAAATAGCCGGGTGTTGTGGCGGGCGCCTGTGGTCCCAGCTACTTGGGAGGCTGAGGAAGGAGACTCGCTTGAGCCCAGGAGTTGGAGGTTGCTGTGAGCTGTAATGCCACGGCACTCTACCCAGGGGGCCAGCTTGAGGCTCTGTCTCAAAAAAAAAAAGAAAAAAAAAGAATCTGGATGGGAAAAATATGCAGGATTGAACATATGTGTTTATTTCTATCCTCTCTGAAAACCCCAGTAAAAGGAAGGCAAAGGAATAAAAAGAAACAAAAGAAGAAGATAAAGACAAAGAAAGTAGAAGACATGACTGACACAGCAAAGTAGAGAAAGGTGAAACCTAAGTGCTGGTAGGGAGGAAAGCCAGCAAATAGCAAGCCAATTTCAGATTTATAACCTTGAGAAAGCTCAGCAACTAAAGAAATCTGTATGTTATAAGCTGAGGATGGGAGGTGTAACTAAAAATAGAAGAATTCCTTGAGGGTCTACTTGGGAACAGTTAGCTTCTGGGTCCCCTCCACTACCTCACAGAATCAGAAACCACTACTCACATAGCAGGACACAGGAAGTTGCCCTTCAGAAGAAACCAACTTTTGAGGCTCTGGGCTTGGGATACTAGAACTATGGATGATGGAGAAGTACCACAGCACAAACGGGAACTAAGTGAGATTCTACATTCTGAACAGTGAGACTGGTTACTAGCCTCTCCCATACCTTTATTTGATTCCATACCACTGGCATCATGCTTACAGTTCCTAGGGAATGGAGAAAACTGACTATTCTAAAGTCAAAAAAAAAAAAAAGCTTTCAATAACGACATCTGAGGAAAGGAGGTGCCTCCCAATTACCTCAAGTCTAGGTGATGCCCATAGCTCAGTGGGTAAGGCGCCAGCCACATACACGGGCCACATACAGGTGAGTTTGAACCCAATCTGGGCCAGCTAAAGCAACAATGACAACTGCAACAAAAAAAGAGCCAGGTGTTGTGGCAGACGCCTTTAATCCCAGCTACTTGGGAGGCTGAGGCAAGAAAATTGCTCGAGCCCAAGAGTTTGAACTTGCTGTGAACTGTGATGCTACAGCACTCTACCAAGGGCAACATAATGGGACTCTGTCTCAAAAAAAAGATCACAAGTCTACAAGCTCAACCCACATGTATATAACTTTCAATTGATTTTTTGGTGTCGCATTCTTAAATAAAAACAGATAACCAAGGATCTACCAGACATTTGAGTAAACTAACATTAAAAGAGTAAAAAAGGATGCATTCAAGAAAATCATTATGGAAAGAGAATGCAGGGAACAGAAGAAAAGTATAAGCTCTGAAGTTAAGAGAAGTTTTGCACTGTATCCATGCAAAATGATTAGGATGACGGTGAGAAAAAGCAGATCAGTGGTTTTTTGGGAATGAGAGAGGGAGGCCAGTGGAAAAGATGGGATAAGAATTTCTCAAGGGGCACAAGGAAATGTTTTGGGGTTCTATTTATTTTAGTTTTCAATTTTAAATTTTATTAAAGTACAGAGATAACAAGTTTCACAATTTTTACACAGGAAAAGACTAGTCAACTTCAGATGCCTGATAGAAAAATTAGGATTCAAAACACATAAATCCATAATAGGTTTTGTGACTAAAGGGGAAAAAATAACTATTTTAGAAGTTAACAAAATTTTAACCATATCAAAGACTATTATAAATTTCAAACAGTAGATTTACCACACATACTGTGTTTTCAAATTCTAATATAGCAAAACGTAACCACACACTTTGGCTATAGCTAGTTGTTTCCAAAAAGTTTAAAAAATTAAAGTTATATGTGTACAACTTCTGTAGAGTTTTTTTGCAAAGTAAATAAAAGAGCTTAAATATTTAATAAAGGAAAACAAAAACAATTCTCTTAAATTTCATACAAATAGCTCACAAGACATAATATTAACACATCTGCTGTAAGCTTTCTTTACCTAAGAGAATTTCCCAGGATCCTTTATCTCAAAGGATTACCTTACAGAATTCCTCTGTCATTTTACAGCCTTTTGATTGAAACATATGCATTCTTTTCCACCCTTCTCCCATTTAAGTGTTTCTCTGAAGGAATTTTTTTTTTAAAAAAAGAAACACTCTTAGGTAAAGCCAAATATTTCAACCTTTCAAAATGATTACCTCTGTGGATGATTTACTAAGGAAGAAGAGAAAGAGAGAAATCTAAAGACCTGTGTGAACAACTCTCCAGTTCTGTGAAATCAAAGATCCAACTGTTTGGGGGTATTAGATACGTTCACTCTCTCGTAGTACCTCTGCTGATGGTTTCACAGGTACTACATATATTAAAACTTATCTAACTGTATACTTTAAATACCATGTTTCCCTGAAAATAAGACACTGTCTTATATTTATTTTTCCCAAGAAGATACAATAGGGCTTATTTTCAGGGGATGTCTTTTTTTATTAAGTAGAATACAACAATCTACATTTATTCAAATACAGTTAAGTCATCATCTTCTGGAACCTGACAGGGGGAGCCAACCTTGGTGGGGCTGGTGTTAGTAATGTGTGAACTCCTTTCCCCAGCCGTTTACACGTGCACAATAGGATGCCTGTGACCTCGGTGACCACACACATACCCATGCAAGTGTGAATGGCTCAGAAAAGGAGCTGTGGCAAATAAAAGGTATTCCAGTCTTCCTTACTGCTCCGAGTCGAAATGCATGTCGTGCCCATCACTAGGTCTTATTATCAGAGTAGGGCTTATATTTAACAAATGCATAGAAATCCTGCTAGGGCTTATTTTTGGGGTAGGTCTTATTTTCAGGGAAACACAGTAGGTACTGTTTATTGCATGTTAGTCATATCTCATTAAAGCTACTTAAAAAAACTAAATAAATAATTTAAAAAATCAAAATATTAGCATACTATAAGATAAAAGAATAGTTAATAAGAAAAATTCCTGGAAAACAAAAAAGTAAAAGCAGAAATAAAAATTCAATGAAGATTGAAAAGTTGAGGAAATAATCTAGAGAACAGAAAAACACAAAGATAAATTAATATAGGATATAAAACATTTTGAAAATTAAAGGAGCAGGTGGCACCTGTGGCTCAGGGGGTAGGGTGCCAGGCCCATATACCGAAGATGGTGGGTTCAAACCAGGCCCTGGCCAAACTGCAACAAAAAAATAGCCAGGCATTGTGGCGGGTGCCTGTAGTCCCAGCTACTCGGGAGGCTGAGGCAAGAGAATTGTCTAAGCCCAGGAGTTGGAGGTTCCTGTGAGCTGTGATGCCACAGCACTCTATTGAGTGCAATAAAGTGAGACTCTGTCTCTACAAAAAAAAAAAAAAATTAAAGGAGCAATTCAAGAGATTCAAACCTTACCCACAGGCCCTTCAGGAAGAGAGAATAGATAAAAGACTAAAAGAAAGGCTCGGCACCCATTAAGGGCACTGGCCAAATGCACTGAGGCTGGTGGGTTCAAACCTGGTGCAGGCCTGCTAAACAACAAAGGCAACTGCAGAAAAAAAAAATAGCTGGGAGTTGTGGCTATTTTGGGAGGCTGAGGCAAGAGAAGTGCTTGAACCCAGGAGTTTAAGGTTGCTGTGAGCTGTGATGTCACAGCACTCTATTGTCAAGAACATGAAATTTCTCACTAAAAGAACCATTTCATGCTCAGCACAATTAAAAGACAACAACAACAAAGTACATCATTATGAAATTTCAGAGCACCAGGAATTAAAAAAAAAAAACAAACTAAAAGCTTCTAGAGAGAAAATAAGATCACTTACAAAGGATCATGAACCACAATATCATCTGAGTTTTCAATAACAACACAAGAATCTTAGAATTTTTACAAAGCCTTCAACATCTGAAAGAAATATATTTTCAACCTGAAAAGAAATATATTTCAATCTGAAAGAAATATATTTCCAGAGACAACTGATCAAATTAAAGGTAAAACAAAGAAAATTACAAGCTTGTACACAGGATCACTATCTCTTGTTCCTCTTCATCCCAGAAATTATGAGGGTTTACTCACCAAAAAATTTATGATAAAAGAAGATCAAAGCACACACATACACAGACACACACACAAGGCAGAGAAACTAAATATATATAGACAAGAGACAAAGAAATTCCCATATTTGTGATAAAGGAATATCCTAAGACAAAAACTGAGGCAGACATAAAAAGCAACTAGTCTAGATTAGAACAAGAAATGATGAGCTCCAGGAAAGATAACATTAAGAAAACAAAACAAAACAAAACTGATGATCAATTGGTATTATCTGACCATACTAAAATGTATTTTTATTATATTGTTAGAGAGTTCTTGTGGCAGTGAATGCTGGTTATCCTTTAATATCTGCTCTTCTATAGTACTATGATTATTAGCTGGGCTTAAGGTTACCAAATAAGGACTATATTTCCTGCCTAGATGTGACAATGTAACTAAGTGCTATTCAATGAAATGCAAAAAATAAAGCGCCCAATTTCTGGGTGGTACCCTTAATGGAAACTTTGCTGCTGATTGGAATATAGACACAGTGGGTACTTTGCCATTTTGAATCTTGAGAATGAGGAAAACAAGACAAAGGAAACTTGGGTCCCTGACAATTTTGTGAGCATAGTTGCCATACCAGACTGGACTTTTACCTGAGAAAGAAATACACTTCTATTTTTTTTTTAAATAATAAGAAGTTAATTGATGACTCTATAGTGAACCTCAGAGTCAAAGCATTCTATTACAGTCATACTCTCATTTGACAAGGTGAATGCTACTTTCTCTGCATTACTATTATGATTATTCCTTAACACTTTGTTGCAGCAATCGTCTGATTTGTTTTCTGAATGTATTTATCTTCATTCATTCTTTATGAGGTTTCTGTTTCTAGTCCTTATCTTTAACATTGTTATTGTTGGTAAATTTTAAGCCTTTTTAATTCTGTGAAGGCAAAAAGCAGAAACCTAATAATTACATGTATGTGTAAAAAAAATATAAAAATAAACAATAAAAAATAAACTTCTATTTTTTAAAAGCTGCTAATATTTTGACTCTTTGTCACAGTCAAATTTGCAATACAACTATTAGAATTACACATGTAACATTGTAAACACTGAACAACTTATGTCATAAGTATACCAGGGTAGGGAAAGTAACTAAGGTAAATTTTCATTTTCTGTCAAAATAAGTCAATTGTTAAAATTTAAAGCTGATATATCAAGAAAGAGAAGTAAAAGGATGTTAACTAGAAATAGGGATATACACACTAAAAGAAACAGCTTAATACTGCTCCTGGTGAGCAGGACTTAGAGATGAGGAAGGGGTAGGACAAAGGTCTTTTTGTTTTTCCTTTTCTATCTTATAGCATAGTTCTATTGAACTTCAAAAATTAAACACACGTTATTTACTTTTTTTTTTTTTTTGAGACAGAGTCTCAAGCTGTTGCCCTGGGGAGAGTGCCGTGTCATCACAGCTCACGGCAACCTCAAACTCTTAGGTTTAAGTGATTCTCTTGCCTCAGCCGCCTGAGTAGCTAGGACTACAGGTGCCCGCCACAACACCTGGTTATTTTTTAATTGTAGTCGTCATTGTTGTTTGGCAAGCCCAGGCAGCATTTGAACCCGCCAGCTCCAGTGTATGTGGCTGGCACCCTAGCCACTGAGCTACAAGCACCAAACCTACACACATGTTATTTTGATAAAAATATAAATTAAATTAAAAATTACCCAGGTTATCACTCTTGAACTGTTAGACACTTAGTTGTTCTATACTGAAAATTAGTTGATAGCCTGCTAAAAATAAGAGTGGGACACAGAATAGATTGCTAGGGGAATGTGTGTAAGAAGTTGATTAGAATATACAGGCACCAAAAACAAACTCATATATTTAGCCTTGGATATACCACTGAAAATCATCTCACTCTAGTGCAATTTGGTTTCAGAAAATATATAAGGAAAATTGTTTCATTTTTATTAATATCTAGAAGCTTGAAGTCAATATTTTACTTATTTTTAAAAATAAAAATAGGGTTGACAAACCCTACCATCTCACCCGTAAACTATTTAATATCTGATGTATTCTTCGATTCCATCTCTCTGCCTCAATATGTTGTGAATTCCTCGGTGACTCCTGTTTGAATGATTGATAAATAAAATATTTCATTTAAGCAAATTGTACTGAATTTTCAAATATTTGCCAAGTATAGTGTTAGCTGCTACAAGAAACACAACTGTAACACTGGGTTCTGCCAAGGAAAGCCCTTATAGTCTGATAATAGAATAAGATTAATATACAAATATAGATCAATCTTTCCAAGATTTCACCTATACTCCTCAGGTGGCTCCAACATAGTGGATTTTGCAATCTTTATTTGGCAACACATCTAGGGCATTATGCCCTTACTTTGAAAAGTTAGCAAAGACAACCACTTTTGCCTAGTACTAACCTAGTTCTAGTCGATCTGAATTCAGTTGACAGAATTAAACATAAAGATATAAAATGTACTGTCTTGTAAAGGCCTTTATCTGAACTTACCTCGTAATAGAGAAGCTATTACCCAAACTGGTATTACCACAACTGGTGTTTGGTAGTTTGTGTATAACTGGGCTATAAATCTTTCAGATTTTGAAATGCCTTGTCCAAACAAGATTGACCCTTTGCCTGTCATGTTATCAAAATATATTTATTCTTATCAGTATTTAAGGCTTAACCACTTTCAGAAATACCTCAATACTTAAAAATTGTAAAGCTGAAATCCCTTTGCAAGAATTCACTCCAATCCCTTGCAAACTAACACCTTAGCAGGTGAAAACAGCAACTTAAGAATCTGAAGAAAGAACAGATCTACAAAGGGTTGAGGAAAGAGAAGTGGCGCAAATATGACCTACTTTATAATTTTTCCTGGACTAGTTCTAACCATGCAACCCAATAGCATCTGTGTTATCCTTATCCCATACCTACTATTTGTCTAGCATTCGTGTTTAGCTTTGCAGCCTAGATGCTTCCTAGAAGTGCTGACCATTTCATAGACTCCAAGACAATTTCAAAAGCTCCAGAATATTTTACATGACATTTTAAATGATTTGAGGCTAAAGGCAACCTTTGACTTAGTCCAGGAAATTGCTATATCAGTTTCCTCAACCTGTCTTTCTTAAATCCCAAGGAGATTGATTTGAAAATATGATTACTTTATTCTGAAGAGTTTTCTAAATCTCTCTAACCGCAATTTATGTTTATTTCTTTTTGGTCTGTCCTTGGATAAGGAAAGTTAACTCGCTTACTAATGTTTGTTGTTAAATACACAAATGCTATTTTTGAAATGTAAAAACCTCTTTGTTAGAGATCCGTGAGACTCTAACTTCACCTATAACATACAACTAAACTAACCAAAGAAGGCTCAGAAGAAATAATGTGTGCATTTTGCTAAAGCCTGTCCACTTAATCTATCTGGACATCATACAGCTGAATCCATTGTGTGGAAAGCCCGGGGGATTATTAAAACAGCTGAACTTGTGCTGTGTTGTGGTTTGCTTGACCACATATGAAAATAACCTGTGTCTATAGAAGAAAAGAGAATGACAAAAATGAACCAACCCACTTCTAGCTCAGCTGTTTGAACCTTTCAGGTAAAAAGTTTAGGTTATTTATTCAGACTTAGAATTATCCAGAGAGTTCAATCTATTTTCCACATATCAAAGAGTCTTAGAAATTATTATAAAGATAATTTATTTAAAAAACAAATTAACATTAGGAATTAATAGGTGTTTTGATATTATTTACTAGAAAACTTTTGATAAAATTCCTTACAATTTAAAAAATGCCTTTAGTACTCTTTGGGACAAGGACCAGAGAAATTAGGCAGTAACACACAGGGAATCAGGCCAATCACATTTTACTTCTGTCTTCAGTATTAATACATGTAGCCTTTTGAGCAAACCATTTTATTCTTCTGATTTCCAGAAATCTTGCACAGATATAGGCCATAAGCCACACGATATCAAAGGGAAAAAATGCCCATTTTTTTGTAAATAAAATAAAAATTCAAATGACCCTAGGCCATATCCCTAATTATAATTGTTTCTCTCAAAATGTTATAAAAATAACTTGAAAGAGTAAAACAGTGATTCCCAACATTTAAAAACTTGTGATTACCTTTAATAAGCATAAAAAGAATCACACTTCCCTTTAAAATTATTTGAAGTTTCAATAGAAATTAAGAAAAGACAAAAAAAAACACAGTAAAAATATCAAACTATTCATAAACATCTCTGTTGAGATCACAAGTTTAAATTAATTTAGAAAGTAACATGACAATTCTAAATATCAGTTCTTAAGGTGTAAAATAATTAGGAACAAAGTTTTTAAGACTATCCCCAAGACTACACATATATTTACCAATTCAACTGGACAATATTCAATTTCTTCTGCCAAGAAGGGATTCATTAAAGATGATTCCTCAGCAGCTGAAGATATCATTTCAACAATATCCCGCTGAAGCAAATTAGGGAAAGACAGGTAATTCAGCTAGTGTTTGGTTATTACACGAACAATCTAACTTTGTTAAATGCTTTAATCACATGAAGGCACACTTCTCAAACTAATTTAAAATACCACCCACATTCTCAAAATATCTTTTCTAAAATATCCCATATAGGCAATATTTTATTTGAATATTCCTATTTTCTATATGCCAACCATAAACAAGAAACTTGCATGCCCCTTCCCTTCTTGCTGCCTATAGTTTTCCTTCCTATTCCCACTTCACTGCAGGCCTCACCTTAAAAGTCTCTACTGCTGTGCTATAGAGACCACTCTGCTTTGAAGCATTTTATCTAATCCCAGTCCCCTATCTCTATTCTCATGCCAATGCCAGGTGGTAGAGGAAAAATATTTGCAATGGGCAAACTGAGGGAGTGAGAGTGAGACAGGGGATATTAATAGCCCTCCTCAGGGTCGTGACAGGGTTCCTGCCACTGCTGGTGAAGCTGTCACTGGCAAGAGTGAAGAAGAAAATGTATCTGCTAGAAGGGGAGCGAAGACAAAGGGAGAAGGACAAAGAGGAAGCCAGAAATTTCCCATTCCCCATCACCTCCTCCCTTTCTCATTGCTATAAAAGCTGCCATTCCCCTTTCATCTCTAACCTGTCTCCAAGCATCATCCCCTATCAACCCTAACATTGATTAAGAGCTTCTTCTAACATAGTTTACTTGATTTTTCACTTCAGCTTTTTCAAATTTTACTGAATATAAGGAGTGGCATTTTACTTTAATATACATATTTGTGGAGTGTTATGATTTTTTCTCTTTTAATTTCTATAACTATTCTGCATTTTAGATACTTTCAGTTTGGCCATTACTATGTATAAAATTTTTATTTTATAAATGTCTGAAAATAATTAATCAGAGTCAATATTTTTCTGTCCTTTCAAATTTATTGTTTTCCCATACTTAACTATATTTCACATTTGTTCACCATTTTCGGAAGCAGAGTAAGAATGGGATTGAAGATTAAAGCATGAGGTTCAAAAGAACTAGTACATGACTCTCTTTTCTTCTCTCCACTTCAAGCAAGTAGAAAAATCTATTTTGTTACTGTCTATGATAACTAAAGTTGTATTTTCCTTCTCCCAGATCATAAACAAGTTTGCCTAATCATAATTTCAGTAAGTAAACTTTAAGAAATGCTTGAAACCAAATGAAGACGAGAATAGTACCGGCAATCCAGTATCTCAACACCCAGAATATAATCAAATATTTAGTCAAACACATTCCATATGAATACACTGCGAAATTGTTTTTCCTTCCTGGGGCATTCAGTTTCAGTGTGGGTTGACCTTGAATTCCCTGAGTGGTTATCAAAATTCGGTGATGATAGAACAGACTAGAAAAGCACTGGTTTATTTTCATCTGATGTGGCTATAATATTTACATTTGTACAACCAATAAAGTGACATTTGAGAAAATATTTTAAAGCACATTGTTTTCAGCTTTATTTTTAAATATCTATTTTTTTAAATAAAATTTTTTTTAATTTTGTTTTGGTTATGGATCTTTCAATTTTTCACATTCAAGGCCAAGGTAATGGGGTAGGTCTAAGCATCATTCTTAGAGCTAGGAAGGGTGGATTTCTGATAAGAAACAAAACATAGGTATATTGGCTACTATTCTAAAAGATTCCATGACATATGAAATGTGGGGCCTAGTAGAAGTCTCAATATATAACCAGATTTAAATATAATTGTTCTTCTAATGTATCGTGCAAATACTAAACAATTTCACTATGAAACTATCTTATCTTGTGCTTTACTGTCCTAAACTTCTGGGAAATACTTCTTTTTTCTTTTTTGAGATAGTCTCACTTTGTCACCCTCAGTAGAGTGCTATGGCATCACAGCTCACGGCAATCTCAAACTCTTAGGCTCAAGCAATCCTCTCGCCTTAGCCTCCTAAGCAGCCGGGACTTACAGCTACACCACAATTGCCCGCTATTTTTTTAGAGATGGGGTCTCACTCTTGTTCAGGCTGGCCTCGAACTCCTGAGCTCAAGTAATCCACCTGGTTCGGCCTCCCAGAGTGCTAGGATTATAGGTATGAGATACTACACCCAGGCTAGAAAATACTCTTTTATAGACAAAAATCATTTTTATCCTGGCACTTACTAAAGAAATTTAGAATAATTTAAGAGGAAATATGAATTATAAATGTAAAAAGATATACCAGAGTTCCAAGATTCCTTCACTGTAACTGTAGAAAACAATATTTTTATGATTTTCTCTGGATAACTTACCCCAGAATTAATATTTTTACCGGGATCCTCTTGAGAACTACAGTAAGATCCATCAATCACATCTTTCCAAGCATGGGACTGACTTGACCCTTGCTGGGAATTTGGCTCTTCTATCATGGAAGTCTCTGAGTTATAAAGAAAATAAAGAAGATTTCACCAAAATGCCTTTCAAACTTGAATTGGGATATGGCTGTTACAAAAGCAAACTTATTATGGACAACATAGGATCCAAGAATTTAAGCAAATGGTGCACAAACTTTCTTATGGCTCCCCAAGTCTCACATATTTAAATTCCCTTTCCCCTCCTCTGTCTCTATTACCTCCACTTCCCATTCTCTGCCACCCATCTCCTCTACACATACTCTTTCACATTTACTCACAGGATAACATGGACAGCTCAAGCCCATCATGGTATACTATTCAGCAGATTTTAATGACTTTGGGAAGGGTGAGCAGGAAGTGAAGGTTCATTCACTACATAAACACATTCATTGGTTTAATTATTACTTTATAATTATCACAATAACAATCATTGATTTATTAATACCTCATGGCCCCTCTGGGTGGATGGAAATATTTATGCTTCAGGTTAATTGTATTAAGTGCTGTTCTTATCCTTAACATGATTTTTTCCATGTTAGTTTTTTTAAGTTGAAATATTATACCACTAAATATAAAGAATATCTTTATGAGGATGTGTGAGTACTGCATTTGGGGGTAGGGGAGGTGGAAAAGAGTGAGAGTAAGAATGGCCCACATAGTATATATACTTCATCTTTTTTTTTTTTTTTTTGAGACAGAGCCTCAAGCTGTGCCCCTGGGTAGAGTGCCGTGGCATTACAGCTCACAGCAATCTCCAACTCCTGGGCTCAAGCGAGTCTCCTGCCTCCGCCTCCCAAGTAGCTGGGACCACAGGCGCCCGCCACAGTGCCTGGCTATTTTTTGGTTGCAGCCTTCATTGTTGTTTGGCGGGTCTGGGCTGAGGATTTGAACCCGCCACCTTAGGTGTACGTGGCTGGCGCCGAGCCTATACTTCATCTTTTTAATGAAGTGTCTAGGACAAATATTAATTTGAAAAGCAGAAAATTACAATACTGAAGCAACAATTTCTTTTGAGTTCAAAATACTCTTCTAGAGAGAACATTTACATTGAGAATATGTAATTAGATCCTACCTTCATTTTGAAATAAAATGAAATTTTTATTCCCACAATTTTCCCTTCAACATAAACAGAATTAGAAAATCTCACCTACTATGTTTTGGTTTCCCATTTCTTCCCTTACTGACTCTTTCTGTATCAATTTTCTTCCAAGTTTAAAGGCAGAGGGCAGAAAGCATTTTGTAAACAACTGTAAAAATACACATTTTTGTTTCTTGTTTTTGCACTAATAAAGCCATCCAAAAAATACAAGAACATATGCAAAAAAGTAAAAGCTATAATTCATATACACACATCTAGCACATTAATTCAAAAGTGAGCAGATATTTTATCACAAGTTTAAATTCTGTTATATACATGTATGTAAGTAATCATTTATTTATAATCAAACACTGCACTCATGTAAAAGAATGGAAACTATTACCATTTTCAGTTCAGCATGAACCATGTCCTGGGAAGCAGTTGACAGAAGTATATCTGCTCCTCCCTTCTTTTTCCACATCATCAATCTTTGGGTAGGAGGTGCAAGCTCCAAAACCATGAGTGTGTCCATAAAGGAATTAAGTTGTTTGTGCATGGTTTTGCTGCTGATCTCCTTGATTGGATCTATGAGCAATCTTCTCTTTTTGCCTTTCCTTTTCTCAGCAATGTCTGAGTATAAGAAATAGGCACAAGTAATTGGTTATACAGCCTTGCAAAATGATATTCTACTGCATGGTGCCTGAGCAGCCAGCTGATATATTTTGTTAAGGCATTATTTAAAAGTACTTAAGAGGGACTGTTGACCTGGCTAAGTGGGCAACTAAGGGTCTGTGTGGAAGAGGCTACATTGAGATGGAAGTCAACCAATATGAAGGTTCCTTAAAACGCCTATGTAACAGGATAACTTTCTGATACAACTGGTGTTTGTCCAGTGTATTTTTTCCTATCCCATTGAAATGCATATACAAATTCCAAGTAAGGAGGTAAATTCATGGGATTTCACTCCTCTAGGAATTTTTACCAGGCACAAAGCAGAAGTCAAGCTTTTCTTTAGTAAAAATGCAAAAGGGGAAATAGATTTCTCAAAATGGGTGAAAATCTAAGATTAGATGGAGTGAGAAAGTACAGAAATGAGCTCGCTGATATGCCTCAGAAAAATTCCAGGAACATGACAACATCCCAGAAAGGCTGGCTGTATGACAATCCCAGAGGCTATGGAGGCTGGGGCAGTGGGTACCACACACTGATGTGGCTAATGACCAGGGGTTTCCTTTCACCTTCTCCCCTACTTCCCCAGACTTCAGTACTACATGACTCAGGGCAAACAGAGGAGCTAGACAGATTGAATTTCCTACACAGCCCAGTGGAATAGAAACTCAAAGTTAAATTCAGTAAAGACAAAATTTGAATGCTTTACCCCTTGAATGCCTGACTTTATAAATGAAATTCATACCAATTATACCATGTAAAATTAGGATATTCCTAAGAGACCAATTTATACAGTATTTTAGATTCATATTTATTGTTCATTCCTAAAAACATGCCTGAGGCTAAATGTTAGAGGACACAGTGCCTCTCTTCTGATCCTTTTAATCTGCCTTATATTATATTCACTTGCATGTTTATTTATCTTCCTGATTGGATTGTAAATTTCTTAAATGCAGATAGCATGTTTTCTTTATTTCTGTGCCCACCACAGAGTAATGGCTCAATATCTTCTTAAATTGAACTCAGTTTTAAATTTTCCAGTTTCCTAAACTGGATAGATTTATGATATGAACAGGGCCAAATAAAATGAAAGGATAATCACAAATTTCTTCACACTCTTCCCCTATTGTATTATAAGTGCTATTACTAGTTAACTATCTTCTATTATATTTAGTAGTTTATTCAAATTATCTCAAAATAAGTTAGCACTGTATTGAAAATAAAAATAAAAACATAAATGCCACTAACCTGAAACATCAATTGGGTGCAGGGTAAACACGTCCTCTTCATTTGATAATGTTGTTTCATCCATTTTCACATATTCAGGTAGACAAACGCACTCTGGATTATCTGTTTCTATGATCAACATTGTCCATAAAAGTAATTATTTAAAAAAGATTATGTTGCAAGCTAGAGGACTGTATGAGAATTAAAGTGAAAGATTAACTTAAGATTTATATTGCTAACTGAAGCCACATCTAAATGCCTAGAATTATTTATTTAATAGACTTGAAGAGGTTCAGAGATTACATGGTCTGGGGCCCACAATATTCAGGTGAATCAAGTATCATCACTCCTTTTGGCACATGAGACATCTAGAGCAGGGCTATAGTCATAGTGGAATTGAAAACAGTAGTGGCAGCTACAATAAATGACTGACATGAATTTGGCTGTATTCTGCTAAAAAAATTGTGTTCTGTCAAAGCACTTTTTAGTTGACTCAGAAATAACTATAAATAAATTTCTATTACCTAAATCTTTTCACATTTTCAATTTGTACAATTTTTTTGGTAAGCAAATGTAACACAAAAATTGAGAAGAATCCAAATAGGGGTTATTTTTTAATTAAACTTTTAATTCTTAAGAAAAATCAGACGAATAGACCTCAAGTCATCTGAGGTACTCTCACATGAATTTCAAATAAAGAAATTATCCCGGCTCGGCGCCTATAGCTCAACCGGCTAAGGCGCCAGCCACGTACACCTAAGGTGGCGGGTTCAAATCGCCAGCCCGGACCCGCCAAACAACAATGACGGCTGCAACCAAAAAATGGCCGGGCGTTGTGGCGGGCGCCTGTGGTCCCAGCATACTTGGGAGGCGGAGGCAGGAGACTCGCTTGAGCCCAGGAGTTGGAGGTTGCTGTGAGCTGTAATGCCACGGCACTCTGCCCAGGGGGACAGCTTGAGGCTCTGTCTCAAAAAAAAAAAAAAAATTATCCCCACATTTCTAATTTCTCGCAAATCATATATAGATTATCAAACTATGTTATTTAATACTTTTTATTACCATGTACCATATATTATTTGGTACATATTAAGCACAGTATTGGCAGCATATTTATAAGTGCTCTAATATTAAACCCAATCCTGACTAAATACTCTTCATTATATCTTTCTCAGAATTCAACTTCCTATTTTATATTGTCTAGAATTAAACTAAAAGAATTTGAAGAATAATGTTCTTTACTATCTTTCGCTATACCATTCTGCTCCTAAACCAGAAGTTCTAAAGCTTAATTTGAATATTAGTATCTGTTCACTATCTACACAAAGTAAAATTTAAACATACCCAGTATAGCACTGGAAGGCTCAGGAGGCAGGGAAATCTCTTGGGTCAAATACATGTCTTCTAATAGGATATTCTCATCATCTTGCAATAAATTGTCTTAAAAAATGCAATAAACACTTTTGTCATAAACTTGAATCTGTCATTTGTTCACTGAACATTTATTAACATTATATGAGGCATTATAAAGGAATAATCAGAGTTTTAATGTGAACTAGAGAATTTTTAAAAGATCTAATATGAACAGTCAATAAATAATCTTTAAAATATGTGCATTTGGACTTTCCAGTTTCAATACCCTATTTCTATGATTATTTTATAATAATATCATCAGTATAAAATAATAATATAAAATTCTGAAAAGATCCTTTAGGATATAACTGTGCCACGATTTATATTAAATGTTTTTTGGTATATAGTCTAGTATAATCTGTGAAGTATATACTAACTTTACTCCATCTAAAAATAAGGAATTTATAAAAATAAAAACAAGCAGTAGTTCACAACCTCTATGGAAAATGGGTTTAAACATCTGGCTATTTAGATCTAATCTAAATGTTTAAATATGCCATAGACTTCTAAAACATGTAAAAAACACATTGCACTAATAACACAAAAATATAACTAAGATTTTAGATTGATGTAATAAATCTACTAACACATTGCAGTAATCTGATTAAAATAAATATGTGATTTCTGTATGTCCAGATAGCATACCAATCATTTCTCCTGCACCTCCTTCATCTCCAAATCCATCTCCACTGTCATAGAACAGAGATTTTTCTCCAATGAGGCTTCCAGAACTGTTTTCAACTAAAGGACCACTGGAATTCAGTAATATGTTGTCATCAAAGAAGCTATGTCTTCTGAGAACTTCAGAGTCCTCCCCTAAATAAATATATATTATTAATACTAATTCAGAGAAACAGAGAATTTTAGGGTTAGGAAGAAATTCAGATATTATCCAATATAATCCCCCCTCATTTTGCAGAAAGAATGAAAGCTAGAAAATGTATTTGAATTATTCAACTAAAGTCAATCATTTTAGTAATTAGAAACTGGATTACTATTCTAAATCTCTTTTAAATACAAAAGGAAAATAAATTCTAAAACATTAGGTAGACTTTATAGTTGTGATATAGTCAAACAATTTTCTAAGGTAGAAATACTATGGGCGGGGCGTGGTGGCTCACGCCTGTAGTCCCAGCGCTATGGGAGGCCGAGGTGGGTGGATCATCTGTGCTCAGAGGTTCGAGACCAGCCAAGACCCCCCTGAGCCAAATGAGCCAGAGTGAGACCCCGTCTCTACAACAATAGGACAACGAGACAGCTGGACCTTGTGATTCCAGCTCCATGGGGGGCAAGAAAACACTACAGGAGGAAGAAGTAATAAAAAAAAAATTTAAAAAAAAACCTTCAAAGTAATAAAGTTGAAATAAAAAAAAATTAAAAAAAAATAAATACTATGGCAGTGGATTTCTTTTACTTTAGGTAAGTTAAGTTCTGCTTGGCCAAGTATATTTCATATTATTTTAAAGATAATTGCATAATGAGGGTTTGAAAAATAAAGAGCATATCTGCCCTTTGGAGAAATGGAAATGTAGGTAAAATATAAAGAATGGGCTTATAACATTCATTCAATAAACATTTATTGAATATGCTAGGGGGTGGGGATATAGCAGTTAAAAAAGACAAATCCAGTCAGCTAACATTAACTGGGTGCTTATTATATGCCTTATATCATATAGCAGAAGACATTATTATAATCCTCCTTATACAGATGAGGAAATACATTCAAAGAAACGCTATACTTCTATAGAGTTACATCTTCTAGAAAGGAAGAGTTAAAAAAAACAAACTTCATCACACTGGATTTTAAAGACTTGCTGAATAGGAAGATTAAGATACCTTTTCAAAAAGAACTAAGACTATGTTCAGGTACAGCTTGATAAATTTCAAAAGAAAACTCAGGCTTGGTTAATTAGAGAATAACATTTATGAACAGTATCATGAGCACTGAACATCATAAGAATTAGAGATTAAACAAAAGAAATAAATCATTGCCTTCAATTTTATATTGTAATCCAGAAGAGTATGGATTAATATTAAACATTTCTTAGAAGACATTAAGTTTGAGGTAGTTTTTGAAGGAAAGAAAAATCACATGTTGGTGAAGACTGAAGGACAGAATAAGAGAAATAACCCTATGATGCTACTAGCTGTATCTCAACTTTACAGATGGGCGGTAAGGCTCAGAGAGGTTAGACAATCTGCCCAATATCACACAGTAAGTCAACAGAGAAAGTCCAGATTCAAACCCAGGACTGTCAGTCTACCAAGCAAACTTTCCACCTTTTTGAATTGTATAAAATGACACAGAATTGTGAACAACTAAATTGTATTGGTTGGGTGGTAAGACATTTGCTTGATTAGAACAAAGTCCATATTAAGAGTAAAATAAATTGAGATAGGGCGGTGCCTGTGGCTCAACAGAGTAGAGTGCCAGCCCCATATACTGGAGGTAGCAGGTTCAAACCTGGCCCTGGCCAAAAATTGCAAAAAATAAAAAAATAAAATAAAAAATAAATTAAGACAATAAAGAAGGTGATAAATTGGTAGAGGCTTGGAGGCTAGACAGAGATGTTTGATAAAGTAATAGGGATCCAAGTTACTTTAGCACAAAAATGTGGTATTAAAAGAAATTCAGGTTGGACGCAGTGGCTCATACCTGTAATCCTAGCACTCTAGGAGGCCAAGACAAGTGAATACCTTGAGCTCAAGTGTTCAAGACCAGCCTGACCAAGAGCGAGACCTCATCTCTACTAAAAATAGTAAGGCAATGTGGCAGGCACCTGTCATCCCAGCTACTGGGGAGGGTGAGGCGCAAAAGGATTGCTTGAACCCAGGATTCTGAGGTTGCTGTGAGCTATGACACCTGGGCACTCGACCCCAGGGCAACAGAATGAGACTCTGTCTCAAAGAAATTCAAGGATGATTGCTCTTGTAGAAGTAACATGTGGGAAGAGACAGAACATGATTTATAAAAGAGTACTGCAGTACTTGAAGCCATTGGTATTAGTGAACTATAGTAGTGGCTAAGGAAATAGAAAAAAAAACTAAGAGACATTTCAGAATAAATTTTTTAATCAGCACTAGTATGAAGCTCACATAAAGTATAGTTGAAAGGGATCCTAAAGTTACAGGCACAAAGAAGAATAGCATTTATAGAGAAATTTTTAGTGTCTTGAGAATAGGGAATATGATTTTCTTTTTGCCAATGTATTACATTTCTAAGTCTTTGGTTACAGCCAGTAAGAGATCCATCCAAGCTACTTAAAATACGGTCTGTAGACTAGGGTTAGTCCACAAGAAAGTACATACAGAAATTGGAAGTAAATGTTTAGAACATTTTATAGCAATTTTACAGAGTAATTTAATATATGTTGACTCTAATACAAAATCTTGAGGCTTGTATTTTTGATATTTAAATTTTTCAGCAATTCATGTTTGTACTATTGTAAAAATACAATAGATTGGAAATTAACAAAAATTATAAAACTGGTCCTTCACCACAAATTGTCTGAGAAACACAGCTACAGACAGCAAGAGTTATAGAAGCAGAGAGGATGAGAAGTCAAGGTTAGAGACATCAGGCATCACTTTCTTAACTCCCCCTGCTTGATCAAGACAGATTTAGGTCATCCTTATCCTATACTCACTGTTTTGGGCACTGTAAGAAATTAAAAGATGAACACTACACAGATTCTATCCTTATAGGAGTTTGCAGACTAATTTGGGAGGTGTGCAAACTCATGATATAAGAGTGGTAGCTGCCAGAAAAAAAGAATAAATATCATACAGCTGAATTTTGATATATGGCTTCAATTTTAAAGTACACTCACCTTGCTCAAACAGATTTTGACAGTTAAAAAATCAATTTCTGTTTCATCATCAATATGTACATTTGGTATGATAGCACTTCCTCCTCATTATCTGCAATCTAATTTAAAGTCTGTCATTTTACAATGAATACCATCATATACTGGGAGAAATAACAATATTTTGAAGGTATCTTATGCAGCTTGCATATAAAATATTATATATATGTTAACTATAGCAACTATTTATTTGTATGTCTCTCTCATCCAGTCTAAAGCTCCTTGAGGGCATGAACTGCTTCTTTAAATTTTGGTACCACCTATGTCTATAATAGCACCTGACATACAGTATTCAAGAAATGGTTGTACACTGAGAATGGAAATATAACCTAAGACTGAGTGTTAGAATTGAATCTATACTAGAAAAAGGAAAGGAAGTATTTATTAGGGATTACATTATACATCAAAAGATACATTCTATAGATATTTCTACTAGCATTGTTTCTATACAAAAATGCAAATATAATGATTATAATTTGTAATTTTGATTGCTCAATTATTCTCACCAAAGCTCCCAGCTTGAAAAAGTATATCATTTTCATAATCTTCTCTAAGTGTGATTTCTTCTGGTCTGCTTTGGTTCTGAGCAAAGTGTTCTGACACATCAATAGCACTATGGAGAAATATAAGAAAACATGCAAACATTGTACTTGCAATATAGTGAAAAAAATCTAAAACAATTTTTAGATCTGCCATATCCTAGTAGTTCTAATCTCATTAAGTGGCAAGTCCATTCTCATGCCAAAAATCATAGTCATCCTTAACTTCTTTCTCTTAGAGCCATATCCCATTCATCAGAAAATCCTGTTGGCTTTGCCTTTCAAACATATCTGTAGTTTGACTTCAACTGCCTTCATAAGATGAAGACTGAAAACCAATCACTATATTCTCTCACCTGGACTTCTTACTGCAATAATATTCTTACAGGCTCTCTGCTTCCTCCCTTTCCCCTCAGTAAGTAGCCAGAGGAAACATGCTGAGAACAAGTTAGATCCCCTCACTCCTCTGTTCAAAGTCCATCTGTGCTTCCCAAATAAAAAGTTCTATTGTAGCCTGCACCACTCTATATCACCTTTACCCTCTGCTACCTCTCTGACCTCATCTCCTATCACTCAGTCCCTTGTTTACTCTACTATAGTCTCACTGGCCTCCTTGCTGTTCCTTGAAAATGTCCAGTGTGCTCTGCCATAGGGCCTTTCCACTTACTCTACCGGGAACAGTCTTCCCCCACATTACTTCAGGTTTCTCTTCTTACCTTTTCAGAAAAGCCATTCCTGACCATCTTATTATTTATTTCATTTTCTGTTTTTCTTCATAATGCTTACCATCTCATGGCATACTGAATATTTACTTGTTTATTGTTTGTCTATCCAACTAAAATGTAAAATCCATGAGGCCAGCAACTATATTTTATTAATGCTACATCCTCAGTCTTTAGAACAGTGCCTGGCATATGAAAGGTACTCAGTGACTATCTACTGAATGAACAGATGAATATACTGTCAATATTGCAAACTATATTCAATAAATATGATATACTTTTATTGCTGTACTTTGTAATTTTATATCAAATGTAAGTCTTTGACTTTGTGTACTTGCTGAGTTGTTAACTATATTCCATTTGCCTTAATGAAATCTGCATATAAAAACAATAAAATTTTTTTCCTTTTTTTTCTTTTTGAGACAGTCTCAAGGCATCACCCTGGTAGAGTGCCATGGCGTCACAGCTCACAGCAACCTCCAACTCTTGGCTCAAGTGATCCTCTTGCCTCAGTTTTTTTCTATTTTTAGTAGAGACAGGGTCTTGCTTTTGCTCAGGCTGTTCTCAAACTTGTGAGCTCAAGAAATCCACCTACCTTCACCTTCCACAGTGCTAGGATTACAGGTATGAGCCACCACATCTGGCCAAAACAATAAAATTTCAAGAAATCAAATCTAAGGAAAATAAATAAAATAATTTACTTCATATTTTGAGTTTCAAAATCATGAAATTCTTCTGGCAATGTGATAGTATTGTAAGCTGCTTCAAAATTCTCTTTTGGAAGGTCAACCAGACCTGAAAAGAATCAAAAATCACATTTAATAAATAATGATACTATATAAAATAAGAAATCCTCAGCTAACTCTATTTTCTCTTACTAGACTCCTTCTAAAGAGTTGGCCAGTTCCCCTGCATCCACTCCTGCAGTTCATTCTCTATCAAGCAACCAGAGTGGTATTTTTCAGCTGACTCTTATGCTTAAAATGGTTTAGTGACTTCTCCAGAACACTGAAATCAAATCTAGATTTCAGGGGCTCTGTAGCCCTAACAAGCCTATCAGGCATCATTCAGCCATACTCTTCATTCATTATACTCCAACCATTAACCGCTACATCCTCAGTCGCTCCAAATTTCTTCCCGTTTACCTTTGTAGCTTCCTCTACCTAGAATGTTATTCTCTCTGGGACTTTTTACATGGCTGGGTTCTTCTCCTTTTTCAAGTCTAAGCTAAAATTCTATCCTCTCAGAAAGGCTTTTCCTGACTATCCTAACTAAAGAGAACTTTAGTTTTCCTGACTATCCTAATTAAAGAGAACTTCCTATTGTTTTCTGTGGTAGTGTTCTGTTTATTTTGTTAATTTATAGAATAATCACAATCTATAATTTTATATTAAGTTAAAAAAACCTTTTTCATTATCCAATTTCCTTACCAGACTGAAAGGGATATATGTCTTGTTTATCCTTATTTTTCTTTTTCTTTGAGATAGGGTCTCACTCTGTTGATTAGGCTAGAGTGCAGTGGCATCATCACAGCTTACTGTAACCTCCAACTGAGCTCAAGCAATCCTCCTGCCTCAGCCTTCTCAGTAGCTGGTGGGTGGGATTATAGGCATGTGCCACCACACCCAGCTAATTTTTAATTTTTTTTTTTTTGAGACAAAGTCATACTTTGTTACCCTCGGTAAAATGCTGTGGCGTCACTGAGGCTCACAGCAACCTCAAACTCTTAGGCTCAAGTGATTCTCTTGCTCAGCCTCCCAAGTAGCTAGGACTATAGGCACCTGCCACAATGCCCAGCTATTTTTAGAGACAGAGTCTTGCTGGTCTCCAACTTGTGAGCTCAGGCAATCCTCCCACCTCAGCCTCCCAGAATGCTGGGATTACAGGAGTGAACCACCTCGCCCGGCCTGAGTTTTTAAATTTTTTATAGAGACAGTCTCACTGTGTTGCTCAGGCTAGTCTCAAACTTCTGGCTCTGCCTCCCTAAATGTAATCCTATTACAGGTGTGAGCCACTGCACCTGGCCTTGTTTGTCCTTCTGTCCTAGAGCCTAACATAGCATTTGGCACAAAGTATAGGATCAATAAATATTTGTGGAATATATAAGCAAAATAATAAATGAACCATGGTTGCCATAAATATACAGCTACCTAGGGATTATACAAATATTTTGAATGAAGAAGATAAAACACCTGTCAATCCCAATTCAACAAATATTGATTGAGGGAACAGTATGTGCAAAGCACTGAGACAGGTACAATAAGAAATTCAGTACTCATGGTGGCTCATGGCTCTAAATCTAGCACTCTGGGAAGCTGAGGGGGGACGAATGCTTGAGCTCAGGGGTCTGAGACCAGCCTGAGCAAAGTGAGATCCTATCTCTACTAAAAACAGAAAAATTAGCCAGGTGTGGTGGCATGAGCCTATAGTCCCAGCTACTCAGGAGGGTGAGGCAGGAGGATTGCTCAAGGCCCAAGAGTTTGAGGTTGCTGTGAGCTAGGCTAAGGCCATGGTACTCTAGCCAGGAGATAAAGAGTGAAACTCTGTCACCTCCCCCAATAAAGAAATTCCAGAAAATGATTATGACGAAAACATTGCCATCAAGGAGCTTAAAGACTAGTGATAAGGGAGGCAATACCTATACCTAAATAACCATAATACAAAGCAGAAAATTATGAATACCTTAGAAGTAAAATAGATGCTATATGAATTAAAATTTGATAGGTTTGGAAAGTGTAGCTAAAAGAAAAAAATGAAAATGTGAAAGCATTATGCAGGGTGGCCACAAAGTTCATGTGCAATTTAAAATAGTGTACACATAAACTTTATGGCTACCCTGTATTTATGACACATGTAAATATCTAGCACTTTGGAATGCCTAGAAATTTCTCACAGTATTTCATAAAACTGCATGCTACTTAGAGTCTTGAGAACTCTTAAAACAATGACAATTATTGATATCTATGTTTTGTTAACTATACTATTACTAATTTCTCTCATAAGGGCAAGAACAGATATGACAAATCATATGACCCATTAAAAAACCCAGAATATCACAATTTCTTATACAAGTGTGTGTGGTGGCTTTAAGTATTATGTCTTGCATAAATACACAGGAGCATTACAAGTTTTGGACACAGGAAAGGAGCAAGGAAAAGAATGTAATTTATGATAATCCAAGTAAACTTACATTTCGTCAAAATGAAGTTTATATTCACTATAATCACCTAGAGTATGTTGTAAGAACACAGCCCAAATAAAAATGCAAAAGGGAATCAAGAAGAGTGACACAAATCAACTGCATGTATACCTGGGCGAAATGTCATCTTCATTTTAAGAAATGCTTCACTGCAATCTGCCAAAAGATATTTTGCCTTCCTATTATAGATTCGAACAACTCCCAAAAGAAGGTGTCCTGAAGTTCGAAGGGCAATTTTCACCTTTCAATAATTTTTAAAGTATTAGAATGGTAACAATTAGGTTCATAAATCTTATTCTTTGAAAGTTACTGAAATCACTTTTCTCTTTAAAAAGCAAATATTTCGTATTCTTATTCAAAGTAAATCACTTAACTTTTGCCTTGTAAAATAATTAACTTTTTATTCTTATTCAAGGAAGATAATCTAATGTGGCATTTGAGTGAAATATGTTATTATTGGTTGAGAAGAATATAAACTCTGCAGTCAGCCAGACATGAATTAACCCTTGGCTCAGTTGCTGAGGTATGTAACCCTCCTGAACTTCAGTTTTATTAAATTTGCTACAATTTATTAATACATATTTTGTGCCAGTGTTTTCCTAAAAGCTTTTCATACACTATTTTAATTTTGTCAACAACCTCTAATTACAGAAGAAAAAGCTGACTCAGATATAGTAAGTAGCATACTCAAAGTAATACACTGTTAAGTAATGAAACAGGACCTAAATATACATTTGACCAACTCAAAAGTTCTACTAACTACCACAATTCACAGAGGCTAAAAACAGCCAACCTCATAAGATTGTTGTGAAGATTAAATAAACCATTAAGCATAAAGACTAGCCTAGTATCTAACACACAGCAGACTTTAAATTATAAGTCATCATTCTCGCCAAATAGAAAAATACCCAGCCTATGAAAACATTAATATTTTAGTGCAAATTCTAGAGAACATAGTGTTCTACTATTTATGACAGGTTTTACATATTTTTTGGTGTATAATCAATTTCTTTCTACCATCTTTCATTATTCATTCATTATTTTCTAAGAAATACTTATTAGGTAACTACTATGCATATAGTATTTTCTTGCGGAATAAGAAAGGATTACAAAATATGCATAAAACATGGTGTTTATCCTTCAGGGTCCAATCTACTCATGGTAAAATTTATTAAGCTGTTAAATTATCAACAGAAACCAGTATGTAGATGTTCAGACAATAAATGCTGTAGGAATTAAAAGATGATTTGAGAAGTAAAACTTCCTAGAAATGTATTGCATGTTATAAGTATTTTAATTCACTTCCTCTCTCCAGAAGTCATGGCAAAAACAATCATTTTAATCAGTAACATACCTTAGGTGAAAGAATTTTTTCAATGGTTATCTCTAGATTACATTCAAACACATGGGCCTTTGTAAGTTTCTTCTCCCAGTGAGCTGCAAGCCATATTTTGGCCAGTGGCCCTCGTTTACTCATAAGCACATGTGTGTAGAACATGTTGCCTGTATTTCTTAGTAGTTTAGTGAACTAGAGAGAATAAGAAAAAACATCTGAACTCTGATTACAAAAACTTTCTAGTGCTATTATTGCAAATAAGAGAAGCTTATTTAGAATATAAAATTATAAATTAATGACAGAGCTCTAGTAGATTGTGAACCACACCTGGTTTTAAAGGCATCCTGATCAATGATCTCTTCTTACATTTTATTTTTTATCATACAAAGGATTTGAGTTCTTTTCTTACCAATGTAGTCAAATAAAAGAGGAAAGTTGAAAAATAGGAGATGAAAATAGGAAAAAAACAATAGAAAATGTGGACAAAACTAAGAAAAGCTAATATAAGCCACTTCTTTTCTAAAATCAAGAATTTGAGAAGCATTGGATCACTTATTTATATCCAGGTGTTCAATTTCATTGCTCTCTTTAAAATGCTCTGGCTTATTCAACAATACATTAATTTTAGAAGTTAAAATAATGGGATCGCAAAGGACCATAAAATGGAAAAATGAAGAAAAAAAGAAACCATAGGAAAAGAACCGAAGGAAGCAAGAAAGGAAACAAGACTCATATGTGTTTTAAAATAAGAATGGTAGAAGCTTCACTTAAAACAAATAATTAATTTACATTTCTATCAATTATACCATTCTTGGTAACACCATAAGCCTCTATTATTGTGTTAAGCCCCAAATGAGAATGGATGCTACTCTTTCTAGAGGTTCGGTTGACTTCAAGAAAAGAATCAAATTATTGCTTACATACAAGTAATCTTAAACTTCCATTATGGAAGCCTCCTTTTCTCGTTTTCTCCTTAAAGTTCTGATAAAAAGAAAAAGTGAGCCAAAATGAACATAAAAACAAAGTTGGCCGCAGAATTAAGAACTTGGGTGGGGGGCGGCGCCTGTGGCTCCAAGGAGTAGGGCGTCGGCCCTATATGCCGGAGGTGGCGGGTTCAAACCCAGCCCTAGCCAAAAACTGCAAAAAAAATTCGATCAATGCCCACCTCCACCACAGACGCAAATTGCTCTGCCCAAACTAAAGGCTATGCCCTGGGCCAGACTGCGGCCCCCGGACAGCTAGAGATTTTCATATTCGCGGTTTGTGCCTCCCCTCGGCTCCACTTCCTCCCTTTCTAGTTTGTGTGCGTTTTGGTATCTTGGAAAAAAGTCCAGTTTGTTTTTGTAAATCGCCCTCAGTGGCGTGAGGTATTTTAAAAATAGACTTTTTAAGTCAGGGACTTTGAAAAACTCCAAAACAACCCCCTGTGACTTAACATTCCTGAGACGGGGACTTTCCTACGCACTTCACCCCGCCCCCCCCGGTAAAAACCCGCGTCCTGGGGCTATTTCTAGATGGAATTTTCTTTATGAAAAGTAAAGCTGACGACGCGACGCGGAGCCGGGAGCCGGGACGCGGAGCATTCGTGGACACCAGAGCAGGAAAGGCAGGTGACAGCGGTGAAGGACGCGGCCGAAAGCCGACCCGGCTGGGGGCGGAGGACCGAGGCGGGCGGAGACAGGGGCCAGACAAGTGGCGACCCGGGGAGGCGCGGACAGCCGCCGGCAGGGGCAGGGACTCCTCAGGGTCCAGGGCCACGAGCTCACAGGCAAACCGAGGCTGGAGGGGCGACCGCAGCGCCCCTTTCCTCCCGCGCGCGGGCGAGGACACCCCCGGTCGCGCCGCAGCCCCCGTAGGGCGGCGAGTGGCGGCGTTTCTGCTTCAGGCCGCGCCTCGGGTTTCCGCGCCGCGAGCTGAGGGAGCGGTGAGGCTCCCAGTTGGGGCACGAGTGGGGATGTGGGCTGCCGCGATCCCCATCGCCCGGCCCGCCTACAGCCCACGGGGCCCGCCAGGTCTCTGAGGCTGAGCCCTACTTGCAGCTCTGAGGCGAGGGGCGCCCGGGCAGAGTCTGTGAGGAGGACTCGCCCAGTCCACGCGACGGATCCCAGACGTTCCTCTGAGGCGCCTCGGGATGGCAGCCAGGCACTAGGCAGGGGCGGGGCAGTAAGCGGGGGCGGGGCGTGAGGGGCGGGGCAGACGGAAGGCCTGCCTCGGGCGAACAGAAGACTGGGCAGCGCGCGAGGGGCGGGGCATAAAGGGGGCGGGGCCGACAGGCAGTGGACCTCTAGGGGACTAGGCAGAGACCGGAACGGGACAGAGTGGGAGCGGGTTGGGGGAAGGGTGGGAATGCATCGTTCCTAGCGCTCAGTCTCTGGTGTCTTACAGCTCAGACTTCCTACATCACCTGAGCCGGGGTACTAAATATGACGGGGACAAGCCTGAGCTCGATAGTGCCATTGTGAAAGGTGCCGTGGGGGTCGCGACATGCAAACAATGTGTCTGTCCACTGCCCTCAGTTATTCCCAGTTTACAAAGCACTTTCTCAACATTCTCTCCATACCTCTGTGAGGTGTCGTTTTCATATTGGAGTTAAGGCTAAATGGAGGATCAGAGGAGGCAAAGTGACTTCATTCTAGGCCACCTAGTCAGTGGCAGAGCTGAAATTCGAACCCAGATCTGTGGGCCAGAAAGCCTCTTAGTGGTGAACCTCCCAAGAAGATGCCCTATGATAGGAAAGAGCAAGATGAACTAGTCCTACAACCCAGAGGACAGATTCCTAGAAGAATTCCTCCACCTTGACACTAGGTGGCGCCAATGTCCAGAGTAGTTACTCTAACGGCACACGGTAAAGGACTCAAAAACATTTGTCCCAAGCCTAACTTTGGATCTCTAGCTTTATTTTTTCTCTTCTGTCCTGCTTTGGCTTCCTTGGCCATTTGTGTCTTAGTTTTCTCCTCTGTCAAGTGGAAATATTAACCCTTAGCTTATGTTTCACTGGGCTCATACTTACTAGTCAGATGATGTTATGGTGCCTGTGAAGTGTTCAACAAACCTGCTGAGAGGAACCATAGTAATCTACAGCTATGTGAAAGTTTTCTGAGCCCTGCACATTGGCCAGAGAATGATTTCCAGAAAGAATGAGAGGAAATTTTCCTTTTGATGACCATCTACTATGGTAGACTGAAAAATGGCCCCCACACCCCTTCCCTGGAGCCTGTGAATGTTAGTTATCTAATGTGGAAAAAGGAGATCTGCTGATGTGATTAAATTAAGATTATTTGTATATGGGATTATCTGAGTGAGTCCTGGAATGCAATCACATGAATCCTTACAAGAGGTAGACAGAGGGGGATTTTACACACATACACTCTCACACACACACACACACACACACGCACAGTAGAAGGCTCTTAGAAGTCAGAGGTAGAGATTGGAGTGACACCGCCTACAATCAAGGAATGCCAGCAGCCACCAAAACTAGAAGAGTCACAAAGAGATTCTCTCTTAGAGTCTCCCCAGGGAGTACAGCTGGCTGACACCCTCAATTTGGTCCCATGAAACTGACTTCTGCCCAGTGAAACATAAGCTGAAACATGGCTTGGGGAGGATTTGGGCCACAGAGCAGAATGGCAGAGACAGGACAGAAGTCTCACCAAATGAAGGGGAGCTCAAGAAATGCTGAGAGCAGGGGAGAGGATGCCAGATTCTGGCCTGGCTTACTAACCAGGGTGATTCCAGAGGTGTTGTCCTAGAGCAGGGGTGGGAAACTGCAGCCTTAAGGCCACATGTGGTCTTCTATGTTCTTAAATACAACCTTTTGACTGAATCCAAATTTTGCAGGGCATATCCTTTTATTTTCATTAATACATCTTTGTTCATTTTTATATTTTTATTTTATGTTTAAAATGAATTATTTAAAATACAAAGGAATAAAATAAGTTTCAATGAAATAATCCTCCCAGATTGACTGGCACAATTAGAATATTAGTAAGCCATAAAGGCTAAATTGGTGGCTGCTATACTCATGATTTAGTTCTAAATTCCCCAGTCTGACTGGAGCCATTACCATATATGGAGGGTAGGAGAGAGTTTATGGGGTCAGGTATGCCGGTCTGCTATCAGCTTTTGACAACAGTGCACCGTGTTTCTGTTTGGAGTGGAATTTGTGAATAGTTGCACAGTTCAACAGTATTTTTTAAATACTGTCTGCTTAGCAGCACATGATGTCAGAAAAGACCAAGAGAACACTGACAGAAGAAAACAGACATTTTAGTGAGGACTGGAATTGCAATGTTATCTTGTGTCTGCTAAAGATAAGATAATTTGCTTGCTTTGTGATACTGCAATATCAACATTAAAGAAATTCAATGCTTATCAGCATTATAATACTCATGAGGATCACACATATTTCAAATTAGAGGGAGAGGCATGAAAGGTTGTATTGTAGACATTAAAAGATGAAAAGTAAAAACAAAGCAAATTCTTCCAAGCAGCAATAAAACCTGGAAATAGTGCCACTGAAACAACCTATAAAGTAGCTTATATGCGTGAGAAAAAAGGGAAGCCATTTAGTGATGGAGAAATTGTAAAAGAATGCATTGTCGAAGTTGTAGAATGTTTAGACCCTGATAGCATTTCAAAGTCCAAACTGTCTCTTTCCACAAGAACCATAAATGATTGGCAGTATGAATTAGCCTGCAAGTTAACAGATCAACTTCATGCAATACTCTAAAGGAAAATATATGTTATTCAATTGCTTTGAATGAATCAACTGATACTACTGACTCAGTACAGGTATTATACTTCATTTGGGTCATAATAGAAGATTTTCTTTGCTATAAAGAGTTACTTGTTTGGGGTACTCTTGTGAACAGAACGGGGGAATGGATATCTTCAGTAACTTTCAAGATAAATGTCATGAAACTGGACAGAATTTGGTAAACTTAGTGAGTGTATGTACAGATGATGCACCTTCTGTAACAGGAAACATGAAGGTTCTTGCACAGATAAAAAAGTACTGACAGATCCAGATGCTTTCCTTTCTTTTCATTGTATTTTGCATTGGCAAAATCTCTGTGCTACTATTTTAAGTGACACTTTGCAAAAAGTTATATAAGTATTGTTAACTATATTAGGGCAAATGCAACATAGCGTCACCAGTTTCATAA